ACAGCCAAGGGCTGGCCAGTAGTGCTTAAACTATTGAGAGGGGGCACTTCTTGAACGAAACCTAAGAACTGTTCAAATTTCTTTTGTATTCACTACGTATCTATCTATAAATGTTTCAACAGTACATTGGGTGTGGTTAGACTGGAATATGTGCAGTTAGGTAAAAGTGACGTCTGTCATCTTTAAATATAGAACAGTTTTTTTTATTAAAACATCAAAAAAACATAAATACATACAAGATGATGCCGCACTCAAGTTCCATGGAACTTATATTAACGGCGCCATCTACACAAAATGAATAAACAAAGATACACCGATTACATGGAAAAATATACTAATTACTTAGACAAATAAATAGTAAATGGAATTCAATGAGCGCAAGTCCCAACCCCTATCCCTTAGAACTACTGATAGGACATGAGTAGAATAATTGAAGTCGAAAAGATTAATCAGATACAAAACGACCACTTTTGGTAATGAAATTCTGAGTAAAGCTCATAATTTTACAATTAGTCTCAAAAATACAAAAGGATTATCCGAAAAGTAAAAGATATTCTAAAGAATTATCAGAATTCTAAAGAATTGCCTGATCTAATTTGTTCCAGTGACGTAACGAGTAAGGAACAAAAGACTTGGCAAAACGGTTTGTCGAAGCATATGGTGCTCTTACATTACTCTTGTTGCGAAGGTCGTACGAACATGTTGATTAAAAATTTGGGGGAATTATGTCAGATAGATAACTGCGGGAAGCACCGTGAATAATTTTACTAAACAACAAAAGGCGGTGGATATGTCTCCTGTCCGCTAGTGACTCCCAACCGAGTTCTTTGCGAGTTAAGAGGTATGACGATCCTTTAACAGCACCTGAAACAGTGAGGAAACAATTATATTGGATACGTTCCAAAAGCTGAGATTCCTCACATGGACAGTTGTGCCAAACGACATCTCCGTACTCTAGACAGGGGCGAATAAATGATTTATACAGAACATGTCGAGGAAGTTTGAATTTCAAACCCTTAAAAGTAGCAAGGCTTTTAGAAGTTTTAGACAACAAGTTGTTGATATGAGGTTTCCAAGACATATCGAAGTGTAAAGTGACCCTAATATGTTTATGGGAGACAACAGATTTAATAATACAATTGTATAGAACAGTTGTAATTGTTATTAAGTCACAAGGAAACATATCTTCATTCTTCCTCAGACAGAACATGGTGTGTGCAAAACCCTGTCACACATTCAGAACCTTCCTATGTACCAGACGACCAATGATCTAGCTTTCTATACGAATCGAATTTGAGTTGAATTTGACTGCCCCCCCCCCCATACATGCTTCTATCTACTCCCGAACACCAGCCAACCAAGTGGGGGAACCTTCCGTACTCACCATATACTAGTACACGTTTCATCCGACCCGTACTTGAATACGCCGCGCCAGTCTGGCATCCCGGACTGACGATTAGGCCACACCATGTAAATTTTATGGATGACGTCCTTTGGAGACCCTAAATCTAATGCGAGAGGGCGAAAAAAAACAAGAAGGGCCCTAAAAAACAAGATGCCTAGATAAGAAATATTGCACTGCTGACAGGACCATCCTGTCTGTTAATAGTTCCGAAAACGGCGCTGTTTTGGAACTATTGACAGGATTTTTTTCAGTGCCATTTTTTTTTCATTTTTGTTTTCATTTTTTAACCAGGCACAGGCTTTCGGCGTTACGGGTCTCACGTCAATCTGACGATTTGCGGCACTGTCGTGACTCTGTGGTCATAGTTACAGGAAGCGGAATTTCTTTTTTTTCTAGGAATAGGCCAAAATCAATGCGCGCGCGGACGTCATCCATAAAATTTACTTGGTGTGGCCTTACACAGCACAACAAGATAGAGAGGATTCAACGACGGGCGACAAGGATCATCCTGGGACATAACCTCTCGTACGAACAGTCCCGTAAAGCACTGAGGTTACACAGCCTAGCTCCACGACAAACGTGAAAACCTGTGCCGAGAGTTCGGGAAAAACTGTGCAAATCAACTGTCTACCATCGCTGGCTCCCTCAGACAAGAGGCGAAGTAACAGGGAGGTCAACAAGGCAAAAAAACAAATTGGACGGTATTGTAGCACGTACGAGGCGTTACTCCAAGAGCCCCTTGCCCTACATTGTGAAACTCCTTAACGATTTATAAATCTAAACAATTAATGTATTTTTATCATATACGTATGTAGAAGTTGCATTTCAATGTTATTCACACATTAATAGCTAGAATGATTCTTAAAGTTGTTATCGTCAACACGAAATGTAATGAAACATGCAATTCAGCCTCCGGGCTGCAAAATGTTTTAATCAATAAACCATTCATAATCATCATCATCATCCGACTGGTACCGTCGAAAAGTAGCCAACCCCGCCAAACACCAGCCAATATTGCTCCCGAAATACTCTGGTTGTGGGGAGTTCGACTCGTGTTCGAGAGGCTATATTCCACTATGTGTCACAGTGAGACCCCGGTGAGAGGTGCAGGTACCGCTGTACATGTCAGCAGCTGCCTAGTAACAGGTCTCCGCGCAGCAGAATACGTTAGGATGACGGCCAGTACGTTTTGTTTATATATAATCCGCTACTATAACGTCATATCTAGAGCAACGGATTTCATATTTATAATTGTGCGTATCTTGCTTTATAAAAAATGAACCAGACGAATTCATAAGGGTTCATGCAATAATGCTAAAAAAAATCAAGCAGAAGTTAGAAAGCAAGAATGTATTGATCATATTCTTACGTTTCAAACAGAGCCGGCATTTAGTGTGTGCGTGTGTATGTGTGTGTGTGTGGATGTGTGTGGATGTGTGTGTGTGTGTGTGTGTATGTGTGTGTGTGTGTGTGTGTGTGTGTGTGTGTGTGTGTGTGTGTGTGTGTGTGTATGTGTGTGTGTGTGTGTGTGTGTGTGTGTGTGTGTGTGTGTGTGTGTG